ATGCTTCAGAAGATTGGAGATTGTTGAGAAGTAGGCTTGGGGTTGATTAATGATTGTGCATTGAGTCCCCTATACAGAATTTTATTGTTGTTAACAACCATTTGATCAATAAATATGAGAGATGCCCTCTCAAAAAAAAAAAAGTAGAGGCAACAGCAGTAAGAGAGGGGGACTTGAGAATCTATGTTTAAAAATTGATTTAGAAATTTTTAATTAAATTTTTTAAAGTCTTAATCATATTTCACATGTTAAAATAATCACTAACAAATTAAAATAGCTTTCTTTATGGTATTTTATTCCCCAATATATCATACCAACTATAAAATTTCAGACCTAAAAGTAAACCGTTTGAAAAATGGTTTTGCTGTATGAGTATTTAAGTAAAGACTTACCTTTGTAAATTAGCTGAATGAGTAAGAGGCAAGCTTTCAAAAGCACTAACTTCTTCTCTAATGAGACAGGAAGTTTTTTTTTGTTTGTTTGTTTGAACGAATCCATTCTAAATTTAGAAACTGGAATGGAAAATAAGAAGAGGAATGCCAAGTTAAAGTAATCATTGAATATTTTAATTTTTTCATACTGTGAATGACATTCATTTTGTATTTTAAATACTATTTGTAATTCTGATTATGTAGAATTGAAAAAAATACAAAGAATATAAATAACTAGAATGGAATTTTATTTTGTTCCACTCTTTTATAAGAAAAGTACAAATTCAATTAACTGACATCAGGATCATGTTAAGAAAAGAACCCATAGGAGAAGTAATAAAATATATCGAGGCTATTCCTTTTCTCCTCTATCAGCAGAGGATTATAAAATGACACGTATTTCTCAAAGGGCATAGAAAGCCCCAAAGTGCCTTTTAAATAACCAAAGCTTTAAACTACTGTCAGTACAGTTATACTTTCCAGTACATGTTTATTTTTCCAATATATGTGCCCATTATGAAAATACAGAAAAAATGGGGGTGGGGGAGAAAGTCCTTTAATTTCACTACTTTTTAATACTTATGGTTAAGTTTTTGTGATACCTTTTCAATCTTCTTTCTCTACCTAGTCTTTAAAAGAAAACCCCACATTTTTAGGGATCATGCAGAAAGTATTCTGTGTCGTGCTTTCACTGTGTTCTGCTTTTTTCACTTAACATTATATCCCTCCCTCCGTCCCTCCCTCCCTCCCTTCCTTCTTTCCAAGAGACTCAGGGTGTCTCTTTTTCATATGAATTCTCTCCACAGTACCTCCACGTGGTCTCTCCTTAAGAAAATAGAACTTCTAACATGAAAGCTCAGGCTCTTTGAAATGCAAACACATCATCACTTACCCCATTACACCCCATTTCCCATTGGGAAAGAAACTCACAGGATCAGCCCAGCTTCAGTGTGAAGGGGACTCCACAAGAACGTGGCTGTTGTTCATTAGGTTCATTAGGGGCCATCTTTGGTGAATAGCTACCACCTAGTATGTAACTGCAATGGTGTCTTCAGTGATGTAGGATTTTAATTGTTTAAAAATTTGCAATCCATGTGAGGCAAGTACTCTGAGAGTCTATGTGTCACATTAGGGACAATGTGGAAAGTCTCCATTGTCAAAGATGTTCATTTTACCAGAAATACTCAATTCTCAACCCATCTGGGGGTAAAAGGAAAGTACACTCTGTAATTTTCTTCAATTAAGTACACAAATCTCTTTGTGTTGACGATTTCCACATTTACACATCAGTGATCAGCTGCACGGAAGATATAAACAGACTGAACCTCCTCCCCACACCTATCCTAGGAAAACACCTGAGAGGATGTTCGCCAGTGTCTGAGAGTAATTCAGTTTTTAGAGGAAGGTAAATCTGACTCAATTTTACAGATACTTTCTACATGATTGGGGAAATAAAAAAAAAATTAATAACCAAAAATGAGTCCCCAGAGCAACAGAAAGTAAATCATTTTTGTATAGCCTTCCTAATAAAATATAATACTTCTTTCAATAGATTAATTTTATTGCTTGATAGCTGAATATGTACACTAAACCCTATAGAACTGAGACTGCCAGCCTGTGATAAAACCAAATAACCATTGGTGCAAACAGATAACAAAGACACACTCAGTAACATTTTATTAATCCTATGCCAAATTATATATGCTTGAGAAGAATATCATTTTTCTCCCACACTATGGAAAATGGCAGCTTTTTATTAAGTCTATCTCTTAAAACATAAACATTTGCTCCTTCTCCCCACTGCCTAACAGTGAGAGCTAAAGCTTCTGGAGCATTTTATTTATTTATATGGCATTTGCCTTGACGTTTCCCAAGTAATAATACATAGTAACAGAGACAGATGAGAGTTCTGTATCATCCCTTCCCTCCGGGCAAACCAGACACAAATAGACCTCTAATGAAAAAATCCACAGAGCAGGACAATAAATAACAGGGCATAAAACAGGGAAAACAGTTTCCAAACACAATCTTTTAAAAAATACAGAACAGAACAATATTCTACTTCAACTTTCACAGTATAGAGTAGGTTTTAGCCTCATTACTAGATCCTTTCCCACCAACCAGGTTACTTCTAAATCTGATATCACTTTTTTTCTTGGTTTGAAGAAATAACGATGACTTCAATGGTACTTTATTAATAAAATTGTATTTGTTCCTAAGTAGTAGCTGAAATACAGATTTTTAAATAAAACATAAATATAATTACTCATGACATGCTTATTTCCTACTAAGCAATTACACATTTATTCAACAAATGCCTTGTGATGGTCAACTCCATGCCAGATACCATGCTAGGTCCTGAGACCACATGATTGAACAAGATGTGCTTTCTGCCTTGAGGAAACTTTAATCTAAAGGGAGTAATAGACCATTAAGCAGGCTAAAGCCCAAAGAAGTGGTATTCTGTCGATCTAAAGATTCAGGGAAGGATATTCAGGGATAATGTTTAGTCTGAGATAGGAAAGATGTAGAGGAATTGGTCAAGGAGAGGAGGAGGGCTTATTAGGATTCTACAGATACCGAACCAACAGGATATATATTGTAAAGAACTGACTTAGGTGATTGTGGAGCCTGAGAATCTGCAACTAAAGAGCTGGAGATACAAGAGAGCCTATGGCAGAGTTCTGGTACAAGTCTAAAGGCCTGAGAACCACAAGAGCCAGTGGTGTGATTTCCAGTTAAAAAGCTGGCAGGCTCTAGACTCCAGAAAAACTGATATTTCAGTTTGAGTGTGCTGTGTCCCAGCTCAACCAATCAGGCAGGAGAAGTTCCCTTTGACTTGACAGAAGGTCAGCTTTTTGTTCTATTCAGAACTTCAACTCATAGGTGGAGTCCCACCCTCAGTGGGGAAGGCAATCTGCTTTACTCAGTCTATCAAATGAGTTTGTTAACAATCTTATGTTAATAACATCCAAAAACACCCTCTCCTAGACACATCCAGAATAACGTTAGGCCAAAGATCTGGACACCTTTGGCCCAGTCAAGTTGACACATAAAATTAACCATCACATGAAGTTAATGGAAGGTGGCTGTAGGGACATTGATCCTCAGGAAGGAAGTTTTCAAACAAAGGAATGGCAAGTATAAAGGTCCTAGGGCCAAATATGGCAGTAGGAGGCCTCTAGGCTTTTGAGATTCAGAAGCTAACACCTACTAGTTTATAATTCAGGATATTCAATTATACGCTATAACCCCAGGGGTGGTGGTGGTACAGGAATATCTTCTCAGCCCAGGGAAAATTACCTTTGAAGCCAAAAATCAGTCAAAGGGGAAAATAAAGTGGGAGAAATCCATTCATTTCCTACAAGCAGTAGTCCACTTCTGTTCACCCATGTCTCTCGAGGCTTCAGAAAGGTACCCTACCAGCCCTCTCTGGACCAGGTACACCCTTCCTCCCTCTTGTAATCACCTATTGATATGGAGATGCACTAAATCCAGGTGAGAGATTCTGAAAATATTGCAATTTTAACCACAGGAATTAAATAACTTTCCCAAATTGTACTGCTAAAAAAGAAAGAAAACACAGGAAAACACAGGAGTTTTAAGTTAGAACCAATTCTATCTTACTCCTAAACTGTGTGCCCAATCAATGAACTAAACTGCGTGAAACGCCAACAGATGACCAGCTCCCCCCCCCATGGTTGACTGTGGCTTTGCCCCGTGTCCATAATGAGACCTTCTCACATTCCCTATCCTCTCATCCTAAGAGATCCAGCTTAACAAATGTTGAGCAAATACCCCAAGTTCATGGGGAAACAGGGAAGAATTTTCACTGTACTATTTAAAAAATTTCACTTAAACCATATTTGTCCTTTCTTCAAGGCCCCTTTCCATAAGAGAAGGGAAGGGAAGGGAGGGGAGGGGAATACAAGGGAGGGGAGGGAAGGAAAAGAAATCAGAAGTGAGCTGTTCTTTTCCACCTTGAAAGGCATGTCATCTATCATCTGTTGTTTCTTAAGCCTGCCTCGTGGGAGTTTCTCAAAACTTTATCAGTCTTCATACAAAAAAAGAAAAAAACCTTTCACAGGGGTGAGGGAATAATGCTTATTTCCTACTAAGCAATTACACATTTATTCAACAAATGCCTTGTGATGGTCAACTCCATGCCAGATACCATGCTAGGTCCTGAGACCACATGATTGAACAAGATGTGCTTTCTGCCTTGAGGAAACTTTAATCTAAAGGGAGTAATAGACCATTAAGCAGGCTAAAGCCCAAAGAAGTGGTATTCTGTCGATCTAAAGATTCAGGGAAGGATATTCAGGGATAATGTTTAGTCTGAGATAGGAAAGATGTAGAGGAATTGGTCAAGGAGAGGAGGAGGGCTTATTAGGATTCTACAGATACCGAACCAACAGGATATATATTGTAAAGAACTGACTTAGGTGATTGTGGAGCCTGAGAATCTGCAACTAAAGAGCTGGAGATACAAGAGAGCCTATGGCAGAGTTCTGGTACAAGTCTAAAGGCCTGAGAACCACAAGAGCCAGTGGTGTGATTTCCAGTTAAAAAGCTGGCAGGCTCTAGACTCCAGAAAAACTGATATTTCAGTTTGAGTGTGCTGTGTCCCAGCTCAACCAATCAGGCAGGAGAAGTTCCCTTTGACTTGACAGAAGGTCAGCTTTTTGTTCTATTCAGAACTTCAACTCATAGGTGGAGTCCCACCCTCAGTGGGGAAGGCAATCTGCTTTACTCAGTCTATCAAATGAGTTTGTTAACAATCTTATGTTAATAACATCCAAAAACACCCTCTCCTAGACACATCCAGAATAACGTTAGGCCAAAGATCTGGACACCTTTGGCCCAGTCAAGTTGACACATAAAATTAACCATCACATGAAGTTAATGGAAGGTGGCTGTAGGGACATTGATCCTCAGGAAGGAAGTTTTCAAACAAAGGAATGGCAAGTATAAAGGTCCTAGGGCCAAATATGGCAGTAGGAGGCCTCTAGGCTTTTGAGATTCAGAAGC